AAAACACTCACTGCCAGTAGTACCACAATTCTTCCAAGAGAAGTATTAAATATGAATCCCAATTCTCTAAAGCAATGTAACTAGGATGCCTTTATATGACGCTGTCTTTAATTCACTTCTTACTACCCTCATGAGAAATATTCATCCCAATCTTTACCAATGCTTTCACAGAATCCCAGACCGTTAGGGATTGGAAGGGACCTCAAAAGCTCATCCAGTCCAATCCCCCTGCCGGAGCAGGAACACCCAGATGAGGTTACACAGGAAGGCGTCCAGGCGGGTTTTGAATGTCTGCAGAGAAGGAGACTCCACAACCTCTCTGGGCAGCCTGGGCCAGGGCTCTGTCACCCTCACTGAGAAGAAGTTTCTTCTCCAATTTCAGTGGAACCTCCTGTGTTCCAGTTTGTGTCCGTTACCCCTTGTCCTATCATTGTTTGTCACCAAGAAGAGCCTGGCTCCATCCTCGTGACACTCACCCTTTAAATATTTATAAACATGAATGAGGTCTCCCCTCAGTCTCCTCTTCTGCAAACTAAAGAGACCCAGCTCCCTCAGCCGCTCCTCATAAGGGAGATGCTCCACTCCTTCTGCTGATACACAACCTTTCCTCATGATAGGAGCTGAAAAGAAGAAAGTGTTCCAAGTGGCTGTAGAGTTACAAGCCAAGTTTAAGAGGTGCACTCCTAATTTCTTAGATGTGCTAAACTCCGCAAGGCTCCTCTCCAAAGATGCAGGATTTCTTCGACTCCTTAATGTCTGCTTCTTGTGCTTTCATGGGGATTTAGACAAAATGTATCAGCTGAAGCCCCAGAACCCCTAGACTGTCAGGTTTTCTGCTAAAATTGGCAGCTACAAGCCCAGCCAGGACTGTGGCAGCTGCAGGACAAGCCCTTTGAAGCTTAGATTGAGACTGCTATGAAGAAAGGAAACAGCAGAGGATCCTTCTTTTTATTTCTTAGAGCTTTTACTCACAAACATTCACCTACGTGGTGGATATGAATAGCTTCCTATGTGGACAGAAAGCAAGCCTCTTCTTTTGGTTAATTAGTAGTTGTTCTTTGTACAAATCTCAGCTCAAGCCAAAGGAAACTTCAAAGGCTTCACTCGTCAAATGTCACGGCTTGAGCTCAACGTGAAGCCGCCAGTTCTGAGCTGGCTGCACAGCTACAGCTCACACCGAGCTCGGGAGTGGATCCGTATGAGGAAGTAATTGCTAAGCAATTGTGTAACAAAAGAACAAACTTCTGATGAAAAGATTTGGCAAAGTCACAGCGGTGGGGAAGAGGAAAACCTGAAGAGTCTGCCAGCAGTACAACCCCAACACATGTCCATGCCTCATACGATGGCATCATCTTTACTTGTTACCTGTGTCATCAGTGGTTTAACTTTTCTGTTTGTGTCTTTTTTAATGCCCTTACCTGCACATGTGACACTTGGAACTTTAAAACAAACACATCAGATCTAATGCAGGCTACTTAAGACTGCGTTGGAGTTGAGGTCTGTATTTCCCTTTCTGGTTACGCTCCAAGCACAAATATCCTGCTGCATTCCACTGCCACCAGCGTGGAAAAGGAAAAGGAAAAGGTATCAACCTGACATCGAGAGACTAATAAAGAAAGAGTAAATGACTCAAAGGAATTAAGCCAAGAGACTACATCAAATATTGAACCAATAAAACCTCGGCAAATCATCTTTTAGGAAAAAACTACGTAACTGGAATGCAACACAGAAAAAAGGAAAATACTTGGATGTGCATGCTCAATAACCAATGTAGTACAAAAATCTGTGTTAGTGGTATATATTTGTGAGATCAGATACTTCCTGCAAACCCTTACGGGGCACAAGTTCAATTCTAGAGTACTTTTTTCCTCTTCACAAAAGCCTTTAAAACAACATTAGGCATGAACAAGATTACTCACAGAATCCCAGACCGTTAGGGATTGGAAGGGACCTCCAAAGCTCATCCAGTCCAATCCCCCTGCCGGAGCAGGAACACCCAGATGAGGTTACACAGGAAGGCGTCCAGGCGGGTTTTGAATGTCTGCAGAGAAGGAGACTCCACAACCTCTCTGGGCAGCCTGGGCCAGGGCTCTGTCACCCTCACTGAGAAGAAGTTTCTTCTCCAATTTCAGTGGAACCTCCTGTGTTCCAGTTTGTGTCCGTTGCCCCTTGTCCTATCATTGTTTGTCACCGAGAAGAGCCTGGCTCCATCCTCGTGACACTCACCCTTTAAATATTTATAACCATGAATGAGGTCTCCCCTCAGTCTCCTCTTCTGCAAACTAAAGAGCCCCAGCTCCCTCAGCCGCTCCTCATAAGGGAGATGCTCCACTCCCTTCATCATCTTTGTAGCCCTACTCATGACTAATTTGGAAGGACTATTCATTTTTAATAAGCTTGGTTTAAATCTCTCCCAATGACACAAAAAGAATAAACCAGGCTGTGCCAGCCCCATCTTTCCCCAGGTATTTTACATAAGGGTGCAATCTGGGGTGTCAGCAGCCACCACGTTCCTAGAAGGCACAGTGTGGTTTAACTAACACCGAGGACGTTAGGAATACGCACTCATTTTTCAAGGATCATTCTTACACTGAGTTCAGACAATACAGGCAGTATCTATTCAGAGCTCACATCATTTGTGAAGTGCTCTGACTTCTTAACACCCTCAGACACAGATGTGTGTAACGTTTGTAATACTCATTAAATAAAACCATAGCAATGAGTTATTGCAGAGCAGACCCTCCAAAATGGCGTTTCTAAAAAGCATTCACATTTTTAACTAATAAATTCACTTGAAGCTGTCATTCTCAAATTTGTTGTAGGAAAACCAGATCTTTGTCACGCCAGTCACAGGTTGGTAGGGGTCAGAAGGGACCTCTGAAGATCACCCAGTCCAACCCCCCTGTGTGAGCAGGATCACCCGGAGAAGTCACCTCTTGCCCAGGACCTCTTGGTACTGACCTTGCAATTCTGTTTAAGAGTATTATTAATCACTCCACCACCTATGCAGCTACACTACAACTTCTCAGCGCTTTCTGACAAAGTTCATACCTTCTTCTTCACTAAAAATCACATTCTCTAAAACCTCTTCCAAAGTGCTAACAAGAAACTGAGAACTGAAGTAATCTTTTGGAAAACTGTACCCGAATACAGTACAATGAATAACTTCCTGATTTACACAAGACCACTTAAAAATGGGCATACAGGTTACAGAGGTGAGGCAGTACTCCACAAGCTGCTGCTGTGTGCTTCCACTCCTGGGCACACACCTTCTCAAGGACTCTCTCAAGCTAAAGGAGAACTATTTAGCTACTAAACGAGCACACTCCCATCCCTTCCAATTTCACATACTTAAGTTAACCAGAATTGCCATGATAAGGTAATAAAGCTGTCATTATGTTCACCAGGACATTTCACAAGGGTAATATTCCTCTCTGTGCACGAGTGCCCATTTCTCAACGTTGTTTCCATGTGTCCAACTCAGCAGTGTGTCAGATACCTAAAAAACCTTCATATATTGGCACCAAACTAACTCAAAAATAAAAGCTGAAAATCCCAACCAGCCATTTCCTGTTTCAGAACAGTAAAGCTGTCCAAAACCTGTTTCTCCTTTTAATTACCCAAAATTAGAAACCACATAGGTTAAATTTTCATCACGTTTTTTGACTGGCAAAATGTCTGTTATTTGACAAAAGCTTTTTTATTCTTCAGGGGAAAAAAATAATCGCATCACTAAATACTACCCTAAACTATGGAGTCACAAAATTAGCTTAAGATATATATGGTTAGCACTAACCTGCATGATGCAGAGAAAAATATAGTATAAAAATAAATTACTAAATAGACTAAACCCTGTAGGATATTCTTAGTTATGAGGACCAGCGTTACTGTTATCTTTGAACAGAATAGACCAGACCAGATTATTTCAGTTGGAGGAGACCTACAGTGATCATCTGGCACAGCTGCCTGACCAGGGCAGGGCTGACCAAGTTAAAGCACATTGTGAAGGGCACTGTCCAAATGCATCTTAAATGCTGACAGGCTTCAGCCACCTCTCTAAGGAGCCAGTTCCAGTGTCTGATCACCCTCTTGGTAGAAACGCTTCCTCATGTCCAGTCTAAACCTCCCTTGACTACTTTAAAACTAATAAAACTGCTATCCACTAACTTGTTCTTTGATTTGAGCAACAGCAAACAACAAGGTAGGTAACTGACATAAATTTATGGGTTGAAAAATATTTCGTTCCTGGTAGAGCAGACTACTTCAATTCGTTTTTCTCCCCTCCTAGAGGACAGTTTGATGGAACATAACAGATGCAGTGCAAATGGAAGCACAATGCTGAATAAACTCTACAGCACAAGCACATCTTCCTTTACATGTTCCCAATAGGTGGCAACAGAATACCAAAAATACAGAGTAGTTTACAGTTCTTTCTTCATCCACAAAGTAACGGAAGCCCCGTTACAACTTTTATCAGTGAACCTGCACCAGCAATTTTATTCAGGTGAATCAATGCATCTCAGCAATAGAAATTCTCAGGACAGTTAATGGCAAAAGCCAGAGGATTCACAGAACAGAAACAAAGCATTTCATAAAACCTAGTTGTTATGGAACAACTAACTGAGGGCTTAGGCTCAGAGCTCCTCTAAGGGAGTTATCTATTACAAGCAGAAATGTACAGTAACAAAATGTTTGTGCACATTGAAGTGTTAAGATAGAAATAAAATACTAGACTAATTTTACTGTGGTTGATATCCACACCTTGGTATTTAGTAGAATTTATTTACAAGACTGAATAAAGGGGGGAGCATTTTTAAATGAAGTTTTCAGCAAACAAACCCCAACTTTCTCGGTAGTAGCAGGTCCATATTAACTCCCTGGTTCTTTGCAAGGAATGACTGAAACCCAGAGTTGTTCTTTCCTTGACAGTTCTAGGAACTGTGGTACAGTTCCTGTGGTACAGAGCTATACAAATCAAGTCTAAATAAATCACTACTCACTTGCTTTCAAAACCAGCTGAGTCCCGGTCCAACGAAATTGTCTCTGTTGTAATTTCCACCTTCCTCACGCTGCCAAAGAAGTCTGTTATCAGAACACTCTGCGGGTCTCGCTGAAAGAGATCGGTTCGGTGCCCAGGCGTGGAAACGCACAGACTTTTTGGACAGACCTGAAACTGGAAACCAAGATGGACAATGATATCCTGTCCCGCATCCATCAATATATCTCTCTATATATACCTTCCAAATACAAATTGCCATAAAAAGAAAGGTAAATTCCACGCATTACTTGCACTAATTTCAGTACGAGCTCCACAGCTGAAAAAATGAACCAAAGTATTAAAAGGCATAAACACCTTGATTATGCATGTCAGAAAACCTTTATCCTCATAAACATTCTGTTTGAGCTTGGAAATGCTTTTGTGAAAGCCAACCATCAATTATTTCTAACAGATTAAATGCACAAGTGTATTTCTGAATACAGATGCAGCAATACTGCTATAGCCTTCCAAAAGGCACAAGTAGGTGCCAATTCTTCATACTGAGCTAAAGGAGGCAAGATTAAACAAGCCTGGGTAAGTGGTTCACAGTAAAGGATTCATTAAAAAGCAAGAATTTATATTCTGATTGAAAATACAGTCACACTCAGAGCTGAGGTCAACAGCTCCACGTCCAAGTGGACACCAGTGACAAGTGGCGTTCCTCAAGGGTCAGTATTAGAACCAGCGCTCTTTAAAATCTTTGTCGGTGACAGGGACAGTGGGATAGAGGGCATCTTCAGCAAGCTTGCAGATGACACCAAGCTGGGTGGTGCAGCTAACACACTGGAAGGGATGCCATCCAGAGGGACCCGGACAGGCCTGGGAAATGGACCGGCGTGTCTCATCAAGTTCAACAAGGTCAAGTGCAAGGTTCTGCACCCAGGCCAGGGCAATCCCAAGCACAAATACAGGCTGGGGAGAGAATGGATTGAGAGCAGCCCTGGGGAGGAGGACTTGGGGATGTTGGTTGATAAAAAGCTTAACATGAGCTGGCAATGTGCACTTGCAGCCCAGAAGGCGAACCACATCCTTGGCTGCATCAAGAGAAGCATGACCAGCAGGTTGAGGGAAGTGATTCTGCCCCTCTACTTCACTCTCATGAGACCCCACTTAAGTGTACTCCATCCAGCTCTGGGACCCCCAACATGAGGACATGGAGATGTTGGAGCAGGACTAGAGGAGAGCCACAAAGATGATCAGAGGGCTGGAGCCCTTCTACTACAAAGACAGGCTGAGAGAGTTGGGGTTCTTCAGCTTGATGAGAAAGCTTTGGGGAGACCTTACAGTGGCCTTCCAGTACCTGAAGGGAGCCGACAGGAAAGCTGGGGAGGGACTGTTTACACAGCCATGTCGTGATAAGGCAAGGGGGAACGGTTTTAAACTGGAAGAAGGTAGATTTAGATTAAATATTAGGAAGAAATTCTTTACTGTGAGGGCAGTGAGACACCGGCACAGGTCAATCAGAGAAGTTGTAGATGCCCCATCCCTGGAAGTGTTCAAGACCAGGTTGGATGGGGCTTTGAGCAGCCTGGGCTGGTGGGAGGAGTCCCTTCCGATTCGGATTCCTCCCTTCTGCTCCACTGCAGTTTCTCTTTCATACCTTGTCTTTTTGCCTGAGCCTGTAAGCATACAGCTTTAGACTGCTGGTCCAGGGAGACTGCAGCTCACTTCCACCTTTACCTTAACTGACACATACAAGCACACTTATCCACTGAGCTCTTTTTTAATGATTCCCAGTTCTCCTGCTGGCAGAATATCACTAAAGACAAGACAGGGGCAGACTAAATCTTTCTGTTATCCTCCCTGTGAAGTGAAAATGAACCAGACTCATCAGCATCACGTTTCCCATACAAAGTCACTTGTCAATGCACACAAATGCTCTTAAGTTGCAGCAAAATGCAATCAATTTTCTTGAACTCCACTCCAACTAAGGGCCCAAACATAAAAACTAGATCTCTGAAGTAAGCTATAAAAGCTACGTATTTGTTTTAATCCTGCTATTTGATGCATAAATCTATGCTGCAGTCACACCATTAAGTCTCTCTTCCAACCTCTCAACAGTGTGATTGTCCCAAAACAAGTGCATCAGCGCTGAACGTGGGAAATTGATACTGCACCCAACTATTTCTAACCTGTCCCACAAACATTTACTACCACAAGATGTTGAGGTGAACCTAGAATAAAAATGTGCACTGAGAAGAACTAAATGGGAACTTCATTATCTTGCCTTTTCTTAAGACTTTTAGCTATTTTATGACAAATGATCTCTCATTGAGAAATTCCTTTGAATCTTATTTTAAAGGTGGCATTTCAATTTAGTCTTTACTTTTCTGGAATTGTGATCAAACGGAGTGTCAGTCATTTGCACAGCTTTAAGCTATCCCTTAGCAACACAGATGGAGCAGGTGGGGAGTAGGTGGAGTGGATTATGAAAAAAGATGTCTTGGAATGCAGTATCCAAACCTTAGGTGGATGTGAAGAGAAGCTGTTTTAAGAGCAGTTGGAGAAAATTAAAGAGGTGATGGGATAGAAGTTGTGTAACAAATACACAGTACTTCTAAAAGAGCAGACATTTGACATATCAGAAGACCAAGCAACTAAACATTAGCTAATAATTTTAAAGCTAGTGAGCCACTTCATATGTTATCCTGAGTCTGGAAAGTGTTAATTTTGAAAAAATCTGACTTGGATAAGCAGTAGGTCTTTGTTCTTAAACCAGAACAACACTAACAGTGCATTCCAGTACCAAAGTATCCCCTGTAACGGCTGACAAATAAATGGGCTTATATTCTCACCACAGACTAACCATATGCCATTTTGGAATACTCAGATGAAGACCTGAAAAGCACAGACTCAAAATCAAGAGGTCACGTTTGCTAAAATACGTGCATCTTGATCACCCCAAATCATGATCTTCTTGTGTCCATTCTCTTCCCTTGCCAGAGCTACAATAAGCAGACTGACTTCCATGATGAGTCTTTGTCATATAAGCAAAAACCCAACAGAGAATGTTCAGGTATCTTCTCCAGAGAGCTCAAAAGGTAAACTGCTTGGGCAGCTAACAAGTCTTCCATACTTTTCCCAACTGGACTCATATGCAGCTGGCTAGATCACTTACACCACTTCCCAGATGGTGTTTCATACAGTAGAAACCACTGTTCATTTCTTATGACTCCTTTTTTTAAGTATCAATTCATTTTCTGGTTTACAGAACAGAGTCCTACGGTGCTGTTTGAATGAACTGGCAAGAAGATACTTGGGCAATAAAGAACTTGCATATTCTTCTTTAAAAAGATTTATTTTAAAGTTATCTGTATCCCATGATCAGAAGGCATTAAATTACAGGACAGAATTTCATTCCCATGGTAGTAAAAGAACCTTGAATCTTAGTCACTGAATAAATTCAGTATCAACATAAAATCTGTCAAGTGTGGGCTGTTCAGAGTGAATCCTACAACACACTACAGCCAGGCTAACACCATCCTCTGCAGACAGAGGGAGGCATAAAACTTTTGAGCAGCTGCTCCTTTTACAGAAATGAATCAAAGCGAACACATTCTGTAAGTGGTGGCTCTTAGATCGTGGCGGGATTTACAGCTGCAAGGCACCAAAGCACAATGTATTACTACAATGAAACTATTATGGGAACACGTCTAAAGGGTTAATAGAGTAAACGAAATACAGTTACTTTGTATGTCATCTATATGTCTGTTATAGAGGCACTTTCATAAATTTTCTCATGGGTTACCCGGTTGGGTTTTCTTCCTCCTGCCTTATACCTGAAAGCTACAATTAATATTTACCCAAGATAAAATTAACTCCAAACACTGCTGGATTTGGACATACCTTGCTCTGGAATCTAAGCAGAGATACAACGAAATAAGTCTCTGCAGGTGTTTGTGAGTGCACAGCGAGAAATTTAACTGTTTAATCACCTCTGGAAAACAGTATCAATGGTTGCCTTTCCACATCTGCAAAGTGTCTGCTATTTGTTAAGCTGATTTTAGAAGCTTCCTACTATTATTTTTCACATGCAAATACTTCATTCTCTTGAAATGTGTATTTAATAATTTTATTCATTTTTCACAGAATAAAAAAAAAATCAGCCTAATTTTGGTTAATTTTTTTCTGTAGCCAGCAAACCCCAGTGAGAACAATCCTTGAAGTGTTACACTACAACTACTTTTAATAATGGCAAAAAGACCCCCAACCCCAAAGCCACTTCCAGGAGAAACAGCAGGAGAACAAAAAGGATTTGGAGAACCCTACAGGCAAAATAAATTAGGTTTGAAACTGTTAAAGCCATTAGCATATTCATGAATGTTGAGCATTCAACTTACCAGGTCATTCATATTTGTCTGACTGGCAGGATGAATTTCTTCCAAGAACTCCAGCACATAGAAGGTGTATCTGTCCATAAGATGAACGCCAATCCCCAGATCAGGCTGATGCTTAAAAACAACACACAGCAGTTAGCGGGCATCTACAGGAGAGAACTCAGTAGTTAGGAAAGGGAACAAAACATAAAAGCACGTTACAAAAGTTAAGCATAATTCTATTTTGCTCTTAGGCAAATCACACAAAGAAAATGAGCAGCTGTGAAGAAACACATTGTTGACAAGCTGAACAGTACCGTTTATCTTCATTTTCCTAGACTTTAAGTTTTCAGTTAAAAGTCAATAGGACCTGTGCTTTTAACTCAGGCATTCTGAAAACTGTCTTCAGGATCACAAACATCTACTTACTGACAGAGAATCCTCTCCAACCTGGCTGCTAGCCAAGGCCATGATATTAGGTGAATAAAATCGTTCATACATGGATGCTCCTTGACAAGTATCAATAATAAACAACAATTCGTTGTACCTGAAAGAGTAAAAACAGCCTTCTTATTCCTCTCTCTTTAAACTGAAACAACTTACACATACTTTTTAGTTACCATGAAAGCTGCAAGGATCCTAAGGAACAGACGAGTTTGTGCTAATTGATTGTAGAATGTGAGTTTAGCCAAAGCAACGCATTTGAGCAGCTGTAACTGCAAGAAGCTGAACATGAAAATTAAAACTCTGCTTTCTGAATGCAAATGTTCATGACATTTTACCTACAACAGACAGCATCACTGCTGAAGGTAAGCAACCTACCAGTAAGACTTCAAGCATGTTCACAAAATACCACATTTAACCTCTAAATAATGCTTTTTTTCTTACCTTCTTTTCTGCCACATTTGTTCAAAAGCATCAGCAAGTTCTACATTTGTGATTTCTTCAGAATCCTGAAATTTTAGGAAGCCATTTCCACCGTGGCCTGATCGAAAAATCAGAAGTTACATAAGTTAAATCAAGAAGTTACACAAGTATGGTGGTTAAAGGAAGATATTCAGTCAGGTTGACCATTTATTTAAAAAAGAGGCAAACACCAATCTCCTCCAAACAGACTCTAGCAAAAGAAGACTTCAGTACAGTAAGAACAGTACACACGCATCATTTAAACTGGAGACTATACTCGCTAAGTACTGCCTTACAGGTATTTTCTTAATTACTATGACACACTAAATAACATTTTGAAAAAAAATCCTTTTGCTGATCCTTTGTTTCTTTGGACTCCTGATGGGACTTCATGCTTTCAAACAGGCCCATCCAATTGGACATGAATAAAAAGCAAACACGAATAAATTGCATGCAGAAACCTGTAATTACCTGTCATATATATTAGAATATTGCTTCTGTCATCGGAAAGAAGACGTTTAGATCGTGGTGTGCTTGGTGGGATTCTTCCTGTTAATACACGCAAGAAGTTTTCAACAGTAACCTATGAAGAGAAGCATAAAGTAATTTTCTAAAGGGGAAAAATCTTGATTAATAACTCTAGGACGGGTTACATTAAATAATGGAACACCACACCTCATTAAATACACTGCATATTTTAATATTTCATGGTATAAACAGCATAAATAGACACTTTCTGATTAAGGTTTTACTGCAGGTTCACGGTCATGTGGTACTTTTTACTGTAATCCCCTAACATCACCCTGTTGCTTTATTATATCCACTAAGTCTGCTACCACTGTAATTTCTAAATACATTTTCATTTATCTGAAGACCTGTCAGTGTATGGCTTTACTCTGCCAAGGCTGCTCATGCACTCACAACATGCTCCAACATTACTGTGTGTTACCATGGAAAAATAAAAGTTTAAATTCCCTCTGCAACTCAGGAAAGGGAAAACAACATCAATTTTGGTTACAGAAGTCTCTGAGTGATCAGGTAAGACCCATCTGGACGGTGACTGTAAAACATCCTACAAAACACCGCTTCCTCTTCATGCAGACATCCACAGCTCAAATGCTAGCAGCAAATCCACATTCAGGATAAAGCATGATGAAAAGAACGTATCTCTACTACATACTTCAGTATGCTTCTATAAATCTTTAGTCATTATTATATAGCACTATTAAACCATGCAACTGATATCCAATTTAAGATCCACTGGTAAAGACACTCTATGAAATATTACACGAAAAAGAAAAGGTGATAGAATCCCGATTTCTATACAGTAATTACTTCACAGTAATGATTAGGTTGCAGCTTTTGTTTTATTGTGATAAAAGCACAAGCTTAAGACTAGAAATTTAAGTAGGTCTCCCTAATAAACACTTCACTTGCACACCAGAAGTTTCACAGCAGTGTTAAGTGTTTGCAAGGTGAGACCCTGACCAGCCATGTCCAAAGAAGAGACATTTCAGTAATGTGTGTGTATTCCATATCTCCCTTTAACTGTGCAGATTCCATTATTTAAATCGGTCAATCCACAACATGGTTCTAGGATAATAAATCTCAAATACAAAACCGAGTAGCAAAGTGGCTAGGGGTGTCTGGTATCAGTTGATAATAAAAGCGCAGCCCCAAACCTGTAATGTGCATAGAAAGACTTTCTCAAATTTCACAGATGCTGTATAAATCTTTAAACCAACATTAAAAACAAAGACCCAATGATTTAATTAAAGCACGGTCACCTCATAGCTTCTGTAATCCACTTCCACATCATCTCCATAGACGTTTAGCTCCATGTTTTTATGACTAAACACAGTGGCTGGTTTGGGATTTCTGGGATTACAGGCCATATCATCTGCTAGCATCAGGACAATGTGACTGTGGAAAATAAGGCAAAAACATTTCAGCCATTCCACATTCACATAGCAGTCAAACGGAAATTACAACAACACTGTCCGCGATTACAACAATAGCTTGTAACACTCAGAAGATTCCTGGAATTTTAAGTGAAACTTTGCTTAGTTATACCCCATATCCTTATGTACACCCTCACTATTACAAAGATAGCACACATGGAAATGCAGCTAGGTGTTATTTACCTGCAGGATTAAGTCAGGTCAAAGATGAGCACCAGAGTAATTGACATCAGCAATTTGATGATACAGACAATCCTGGACCCAGGCTGGCAGAAGTCTTTACCAAAAAAATCGGAAGAATTTTATGGGGCACTAAATCATTTCATGCAGCTCCAACAGAAGAAATCCCAGCCTGTTTGCACCCTCTCAGACAGATCAATTAAAACATTATGAAAAATTTTAATGAAATTTCAGGATCTCCTGAAGATTTCTCACACCATTATACTGTATCTGATACAGCACTGGATGATTCTGGAATATTGTGTCCAGTGCTGGGCCCTCAGCTCAAGAAGGACAGGAACTGCTTGAAAGAGTCCAGCAGGGCCACAAAGATGCTGGAGTGGAACTGTAGTGGAGCATCTCCTGCTGAGGAGCGGCTGAGGGAGCTGGGGCTCTTGAGCTTGGAGCAGAGGACACTGAGGGGTGCCCTCATTCCTGGGGATCCATTGGGAAAGGGCAGTGTCAGGAGGAAGGAGCCAGGCTCTGCTCTGGGATGGCCAATGCCAGGACAAGGGGCAATGGTCCCAAGCTGGAGCACAGGAGGTTCAAGCTGAAGATGAGGAGAAACTTTGTGAGTGTGAGGGTTATGGAGCATGGCCCAGGCTGCCCAGAGAGGTTGTGGAGTCTCCTTGTGTGCAGACACCCAAAGCCCTGGCCGTGTTCCTGTGTGACTGCTCTGGTGATCCTGCTGTGGCAGGGGTTGCACTGGATCAGCTTTCCAGGACCCTTCCAGCTCCTCACATTCTGGGACTCTGTGATTACCTGTGTTAATGGAATTTTCCTGAAGAACATAAGTTGGCTGACACCAGACATTCTGTCTTCTTCAGAGCACCAAGAAAAAAAACACCCCAGCATTTCAGAGTACCAAGAAAATAAACAGTAACAAAAACCACCAACAAACAAACAAACAAAACCCAGACCAAAACAAACAAAAAAACCCCAACCCAGCACATTATAAAGCTGTTTCAAAATGCATGCAGCCAATGATCTGTATTTCACCTGACAGGGTCAGATTTAGGTCAAAATGTGAAATACCAAGTGGTCACTGGAGACTGACAGCACTAGGAGAGCGTGCCAGAGATGTCTGGAACAAGCCGAGGTCAGTCCTTTCCCTGGATAACCTGCTCTTGGGTACAGTTTCTCCTGAACTGATCTTTGTGCTCTCCCAAACAACGCTCACAAAAGGAAGGCTCTGTATCCTGCAAAGAGTGCTGCTAATTCGGACTCTTAGGCACACAGGCATAAATTAAATCGTGTCCTGCTATTTGAACACTACTTCTGTGCTTGCCGTTGTTCACGTATATGTCTATTTGAGCACTTTAGAAGTTACTCTTTAAGTGCTGATACACTCCACACTGCGCAGAAAAAAAAAAAAAGAGAAATGCTGTCCAAAACAACATAAGCACAAATCATACAAAATAATTCAAGTAAATTATTTCAGTGGGAATAAAATGCTGGTATAAATATGAAGCTGTAATGACAGGAACCAGAGAAGGACAATTACAGAAGAGAAACAAAGATCTTTTTTTTCCCCACACATGCACAGCAGCACTTCTTTATAAGAGTATCACTAAAACAGACTTAGTTGGAAGCAAGAATTGAATAGATGCCTTGCAGACAGTCAGGTGTACACCCATTTTTTGTATAACAACCAGAGGAGAATATTCCAGACTAAGCCATCACTAGGTCTACAGTTTACCATTGTATTTCTGCTAGGAATCTGTGTTAAAAAAATTAATAAACACACATCACTCAGTAAGAGACAGGCAAGCACAAACATGCAAAGGTTGAACACTGCATGGCATTCTGAGAAGTGCACGAAATATCCCCCAGTTAAACAGGACCACTGGGTACAAGTGGCTCACACATGCAGCAAAACAATCTAGGTGTTAATTTGCAGCTTAACTGTTAAACCAACATAATCCAACCATATATTATATTATATTATATTGATGCTGTTTTCATGACTTAAAACTTCTATTGCATAATGACTCCAGCAATCAAAAAGAATTTCTGGATTCATTCCGGCTTTGTTTTATTTTAGCAAAACTTCTTTTATGAACTGGAGCATTGTGCCCACATCTCAACAAACCAAAGCAACTCAGTTATAAAGGCACAAATCATTTTCTAATGAGTTCTGATGCTGGATGACAAATGTATTTAAACCACCAACGTCACACACTTCCATTAAAGTTAAGGCTACGCACAAACCTCTCCAAAAAACCAACGCCGAGAAACATTATAAACATTAAGATCTGATTCGGGGTTTGGGTCTTTTTAGTCTAATCAATATTTTGAATGAAGTTTTGCAGCAAAGAAAACAGGCAGAGGAAGAAGTTTGTTGAAGGGAGAAACTCACTCAAATCCATGTAAAAATTCCGGTAAATGGGAAAAAAACAGGCTCTTTCTAGATCTTCTCCAATGTCTTATTCTTGACTTTAGTCTAGAGATTAAGAGCTTCTTGAGATTCATCTCCAGATCCTTAGGCTTGGGTAAGAAATGCTGAACAACAGAGACCTCCAGCCATGCTGTAGCTTTTGCAGTATTTTTAAAATTGCCACCTATTGTGACCTTAATGGTGAAGATGAATGGAGGCAGCCCAGATGAAAGTGCTCGGGTCAGGGTAGAATTAGTGAAAGAATTTCTAAGGTAGTGCCTAGGGTGCCCATGCTTCAAAGACTACAGAGGAAAGATGACAGACGTTTCTGAATGAGATGTGCAAAAAACAAAACAAAACACAAAATACAAAAAAACCTCAAACAAATCAAAAACCCCAAAAAAATCGACCAAAAAAGCGCCCTGTTTTTGTGGCTTTTACTCATGACGCTTAGGCAGTACATTCCCTTGGACATGTAACCCCCAAATGCTTCCAAAAATTAGTTTTCAACATCCCCTCTTTCAGAAACTGAGAAGTCACTCTTTTCATTTTGAAAACAAACACAGGAAACAGGATGGCACCGCCCCTGCATTCACAGCTGAGTGTAAGTGAAGTGGAGACTCCAGATGGGAGTTTGGGACAGTTTGAGACTTGGAAAAATAAAAAAGCCACACAAATTTAATCCCGCAGAGTAGGAATTTTGCAGTGATGGGGCGAGCCATACCTCTTTATCACAGAATCCCAGAATGTGAGGAGTT